GGTGCTGCAGCTGCTCCGGCCGCCTGCTCCTTCCCCTCGTGTGCGAGGGAGAAAATTAAAGAGACTTAACGTGCAGGTGTGGGACGGGAATACGGGAATCTTTGTACGGTGACTCCCTCTAGTGGTTGAAACTAAACTCCACGATATGCTCCTATAAACTGGTGGGGTTTTTGTCCATATGGCAAAGGATGTTTGTGTGCGTAACTTTTAAATTTACTTAGTGCGTATATAGATACATATATATCAAAGGATTGCTTTATTAATGTTCACGGGCAGTACTTGGTTACGAAGTGTGTAAAAACAATAAATGGCAAAGTAGCAGAAAAGCCCTCTAAAAAGTTGTCAGAGAGAAAGAGAAGAGAGGGTGCATTGTTCTAATCTTGCAACACAGTTGCAGGCGCGCAGCCCTTTCTGAAACCTATACAGATGAGCATGTGTGAATGAGTAGGAAATAAAAACTGGTTGACTTCTCAATGCATAGGATGCACAGAGGTAGAGGGCTGGTAAGTTTGTAATAGATTTAGGCATCTGAAAACTAAATCAAGTTGGACTCTGTCTCTTAAACTGCAATTTTTTTATTGTTTCAGGCCGCTAGAGAGTTAGAAAATGCTGTTACTGAAGTTAAAAGTAAAGCCAAAACTCACCTTCCTGGCAAAAGGGCTGCTTTGGAAGAAATAGGAAATAAAGTTACAACGAGAGGAACAAGTTTAGCTAAGGTAAAAGAAGATTTAAAATTTATCTATAAGGCAAAGACAGATTGCCAGCTGTGTGCTAACAGTAATGTTCTCACTACAGAAAACAGAATGCTCCAAAGCATCCACAAAGCCTACGAAAGGACCTGGTAAGGTGACAAATGTACTGCCTAAACCTCCAGCTGCTGTGAATCAAGCACTCAAAAGAACTACCGTTAAAAAGGTAGGAAGTAATTATACTGTTCTGTTTCTTCAGTTGATTTGTGATGTAAAGATTTACCTTCAGAGCAGTTTGTCTCTAGATATGTCTCATTTCCCTGCTGAAAAAGCAAAGCCCCTGTACTGAGGTTTTGTTTTAATGCATGTTGTGTGCAAAGTGGCAGAGCTAGCTGTTGAAGTAATAGATGAAGTTTCTGCTTTAGCTGGCAATTACCAGAAGGTCTTCTGATCCTGCCTGTACAGCATCGTGGCAAAAGCTTGCACATCCAGAATGCAAGCTCAATTTCAACTTTATGTTAAGAAATTATCTTAGTAACTGGAAACCTGTGGAAACAAAGGAACATTGCAGCTTAAGCAGCAGATATGTAAGCACTATGATCTTCCTCTCAGGTCATGTCTCCTGTCCCCATGGATGTATCTAAGCAAGAGGAGGATTTATGCCAAGCCTTCTCTGATGTGTTGCTCAACAACGTAGAGGACATTGATGTTGAGGACTGGGAGAATCCCCAGATGTGCAGTGACTACGTGAAGGATATCTACGGGTACCTGCGAGAGCTGGAGGTAGGAGCTGGCAGGTGGGTGCTTGTGCAGCGTGGTGTTGGCCCTGCTGCTGACACAGCTCTCTCCCACAGCTGCAGCAGGCTGTGCGCCTGCACCACCTCGATGGGAAGGCCATCAACAGCCGCATGCGCGCCATCCTGATCGACTGGATTGTCGACGTCCACTCCAGGTTCCAGTTTTTTCAGGAAACACTGTATATGTGTGTTGCAATTATGGATCGCTTCGTACAAGTAAGAAAAATATTTTTCAACTCCTGTTTGGATTAGGAGACTTCAATGCCTGTGCTTTGAAAGGACTTAAGGATTGAGTCATCCGTTCTGAATCTAACCTACCAAATCTGCTCTTTTTGTAAGAGCTTTGTATAAAATAGCATCTTAACTCTGAAGCCTGTGATTATAGGGACACTTAGACTCAAAGATTAAAATGTGATTTATGTTAGAAGAAAGAGCAGTGTCATACTGCTTTTTTAAAATGATTAACCTGTTTAGAGTTTGACATTTTTTAGCCTGCTTTTTAAATTCCTACATTGCAGAGTCACCGAATACATAGTACGAGGTATCAGCTGGTGGGTATAACATCACTGCTCCTAGCCTCAAAATATGAAGAGATGTACTGTCCTGATATAGAAGACATGATTTACCTTACTAACTATGCCTATAAGAGTGCTGAAGTTAGAGAAATGGAGATTTTGATTCTCAGAGAGTTAAACTTCAATTTGGGACGACCTCTTCCAATTCATTTCTTAAGAAGAGCATCAAAAGCTGCGGAGGTGGGTACTTGTTCTCATTGTCTAGAACTTCACATGTACAGTAAAGTTCATCAGGATTGCTTACAGCATTTGTAGCACAAGATCTTCCTGCTTGCATGCTGGATCAGGAAATACTCAGCTATAAAACTCCACCCTGTGGAGTAACATGACAACACCATGGCTTGCTGCAGCCACTAGCAGTTCACCTTTGTATTTACTGGAGTCTGTGTTCAGTCTGAGTGGCATTGATTTTACTGTTTAAACTAAACATACCTAGGGCAATACCCTTGGTGTTAGAGCAATTTTTTCTCTGGTGATCAGACAATTGCCTAGGAAAAGGGGAGCAGTGTTGCAGTTCTTCATAATTCTTGGATGCAAACATGTAATATTTAAGAATAAAAATACAAGCTTTCCCTTTGACCTGACCCGGTTTTTCCACCTCAGTAGTTAAACTCAAGTGAACTACCCACACTTGAAATCGTCTTCAGTGACCTCAACAGGCCATGAGGTAACTCTTGAAGTTAGACCCGACTGCTTTAACAAGGATCTCCTGAAGTTGCTTTACACTGATTTTTCTTGATTCTTTGCCATGGTGCATTACAGAGGGAGCACGTGTATCCCTGGTTGAGTACAGCAGTGCCTGATACTGTGGTTTTCTGTTGAACTCCCTCAATTGACTTTGTCTGAATTCCAAAGAGCTGCTAGACTAGACTGGTTTGGACTCTGGTCTGGGTTTTGAGATGAGTGCCTGCTTTAGAGCAGGTCCCTAGACCTTCATAAAGATTTTGTTGATTGTTTTTGAAAATTGATACAGTAAACAATCTTGAATTTTTGTGATGAGGTGAAGTGAAACTTTGTGGATTAACTACAAACTCTCAATCTGGTAGGCTGATACTAAGCAACATACACTAGGAAAATACCTGATGGAGCTGACACTGGTAGACTATGACATGGCCCACTACCGTCCTTCAGAGCTTGCAGCTGCTGCAGCGTGCTTGTCCCAAAAGATTCTGGGACGTGGCAAATGGGTAAGTATTTTATGCAAACTTATTGTTAGGAGTTTTTTTTTTCTTCAGCTGTTTTGAGTTGAACCATTGGAACAGCTGCTTCAGAAAGTTGTGGTTAGGTCAGTAATAATGCTGGTGATCAAATGACAGTTGGACAGACTGATGCAGGTAGGAAAAGGAATACTATTAAAACTTAATGTCTTTTCCCTGCCAACACTGTGTTATCAAAGGATTTTTTTCTTGAAATTACTGACTTTACAGAAGGCCACACTGTAAATAAAGGTAGATTTCCATAATTCTCACAGTATGTGTAGAATAACAAAATCATGGCCCGTGACTAGGGAATTATAATCCAGCTAGTGATTACCCTTCCAAGGATTGTTTCTTTTACCCTCTCTGCAGTGTACAAATGTGGTTATTAGCATTGAGGTGTCCAGCCTTCTTTTGCATGGATCTGTCACCTAAACTGACAGCACTACAGATCCTAGCACTCAAGGCCAGTGCATGAAGCTTGTGGCACTTGCAGACTGAGGTGACTGTGCTTGGGCAGCAATGCCTGCTTCACACACCTCCAACTTCTCCCCGTTGCCCTGCAGGGTGCAAAGCAGCAGTACTACACTGGGTATGCAGAGGACAGTCTTCTGATAATTATGAAACACATGGCCAAGAATGTGGTCAAAGTAAATGACAACTTAACGGATTACATGGTAAGTATAACTACTTTAATCTTATTAATGTTTCCAAAATACCTGTGCTGTGTATTGTGGCTCCTTAGGTAAATATTCTGCTACTTAAAGCATATGCCTTTCTGACAAGCCTGTGAGAGGATCAGTACTAACTTAAAAACGTTTTAGGCAAACCGTGCTCTCGCTGCTTTCCAAGCTGGTTCTCTTCTAACCTTGTTGGCTTGTTTTCCAAACAGTCAGGCTAACTGACCTAAAATTACCTGCCTGAACATAAACAGTATGTGCAAACCCTCTGTAAGGCTGCTCCTCTGTCTCTGCAGACTGTCAAGAAGAAGTATGCAAGCAGCAAACTACTGGCCATCAGCACCATCCCTCAGCTGAACGGCAAGATAATCAGGAACCTGGCTTCACCGGTCTTGTGATGACCCTGCTAGGCAGCCAAGTCCTGATGGAACATGCACTTTGTCCTTGCCTTGTCTGTTGGGGCAAAACCACTCTGCTCCTTGTACATAGTATTCCAGCCTTTCCACAGACATTTCGGACTCACTCGGAAGGTGAAATTTTAAAGTTGCTTTGTAATACAACTCTTTACCTAGAAATAAAGCTACTCTCTTTGTTTTTTTAAAAAAAAGTATTGTGACTGAATGTTTAGGCCACTACCCAGACGTGTCTAGAAGCTAATGTCCAAGCAGGACATTTGACTGAATTGGTAATTAATGCAACTTGCAGGTAGGTGCGGATAGTTGCTATCAGTGGTTGTCTCCAATGAGAATCCCTGGGCTTTTTAGGGGGTTATGTTTAGTAACTTGTTTTCACTCCTAAGAGCAGGCAGACAATCTCTTTGGTGTACAATAAAGAATACTAAACACATTTAATTGAGTGCCTTGTCCCAAAGTATAAAGGAATTTCTTTTTTTTTGTAGTTTGTTACCTTCAAGGTAAAGAAGTAGGCTGGCTGTAACAGGTATTAGCCTTGTCTTTGTGTTTTGGTGAAAGTAAGACAGTGTGTTCTCTATCTTTGTGTACCTAAACAAAGGGAGCTAAGGTAGAGAAGTTCTAAGTCTCCTGTGATGCTAATCACTGTGCAGAGGCTGGGCTGTAGGTGTGGAACTACAGGGATATAAGCCTTTTTGAACCAGTTCAGCTCTTAAAACCTACCTCACTTCTCTGACAAAAAAAGAAAGTATCTCTGGCTTTTAATTATCTGTTTGCTCACCCACCCCCCACCTTTTTTCCCCCTCCAATAAACCTTTCTACCTGGTAGAATTCAAACCCATTGTAAGCAGATTTTTACCTACCACTTGTTTGCTTTCCTTTGTCTTTGGTTCTAATGGTACCTGTATGCCCAAGGAATACATGTAAGTAATGCAACTTTTTTGCCTCCATGTCTAATTTAAGCCTATTTGTTACCTACGTAAGTAGTGTTAAGTTACAGACCCCTAGGTATTCTCCAAGTTATACTGAACTAGTTACCTCCCTTCTCCCAGTGTTTTCTCGGAGTGTTGTGGCCCTGATGCAGAAGGCAAAAACCCAATACTGCAAAGCTAGACCCCAGTGCTGCCCCCTTGCGGGAAGGATGTTGAAGCTACTGGGCTTTGTCTTCTCTAGCAAGAGATTATTTTCTCCCATAGAGTAAGTAATTCTAGCTACGACTGCAAATGGTCTCTTGATCCATTGTGTGCATATGATGGCCCCTTGACTGAGGCCCTCGTTTCCAGCTTCCAGGAACGGCTCTGCTGTCAGTCATCTCTTAATGGTGATGGCTTTTTAAGTGTATACCTAAATGAGGCTTAGGCAATGGCTTAGGATTTTGGCTGTATCTCAGAACTTAATGCAATTTCTTAATACCAGTGTCTCCAGGTTTTTTTAAACTGCTTTTACCAAGAAAAAATGGAATGCACAGAACTTCAGTTGGACATAGTGAAAAGGTTTGGAGCAAAGAGGTGTTTTTTTTCTTTAGACATCAGTGCAGTAAAATCCAACAGACGTAGTTGTGAAGTTTATGTAACAAAAGTGCACAGAGGACATGTTCAGCTGACTGCTTCTTGTGTTTTATTTTATGGCGGTTCAGAAGGCAAAGCATGGATGCTGATAACTATGGCAAGCAACAGCCACTCTGGTGTGGGAGGCAGTCAGATTTAAGCAGTAACACTTCTGCTTTTGCCATTTCAAAGGAGTAGTGCAGATCTGTAAGTACCTGGCATAAAAATTCTAGTAGAGATACTTCATGAATAAGAACAGTGGAATACTACATTATACATTCATACATATTTCTATCATATTCAGTTTTTATATACAGTATATGATCTGTTTCTATAAATGTACAGCTCTGCATAAAGACACTTCCTGCAACACATAGAGCATTAAACATAAATCCAACATGGGCCAGCCATATTATAATATAAATCTTAGAGAAGGCAACATTGTTTAGGCTACAGTACTATGTGGTTTTCTGTTTTAAATTCCTGTGGTGCCTGTTGGAGTCCCTAAACACATCAGCAAACACACACCAGTTCCATTACAGCTCTGTACAGAAGTACTTAAATATACCATCACAGTAGGTTTTGAGATGGTAATATCCCAAAAGAGCTGAAATCTTGACATGTAGCAGCATACTTAGCATGTTTCCCAGAATGATCTGCACTAGAGGAAATGTGCATTTAACATTATCTTCAGTAGATAATTTAAAAAGTTATTGATACTGAATCTGAAGGCACTTATTAAATACACCCCTTTTGAAGTCCCTGGTCCCAGACTACAAAGCACCTTTCTGTTTCAGTAAGATGGTAGGTTTGAGCATTCTTCACTTACTAGGTGTTAGAACCAGGTTTTAAATATTAATAAATAATTGGTATGTCCATTGCTGTATGCTTCTGAGACAAAAGATCGAAGTCTGTGCTGTGGGTAATTTTTTCTTCCTGCTTATGCACAACTTTACTGGTGAAAATACTGCTAAGAATGGCAGATCTCAGAAGAACAGTGTCCTGAAGGCAAGGAAAACAGCTTCAATCACTGGCAACTTCATGTGAGTCTCTGCATGACAGTCTTTCATATCTTAGTGACGTAATTGTTGGGAAACAGACCTTGTTTCCCTCGTAGTCTTCCTGTCCACCAGCCAGAAGGATCTATGACAAAGAAAGTAAAGTAACTAATGAGATTCTGTAAGCCTTTTTTTGGTACTTTTTGAGGTAGCCTGGCCCGGATGTTCCACATACCTGGCTACCTTGTGAAGAACTCAGGAGAAATTACTTGGAGGATATGACCTTGCTAAACTATTGGTTACATCAGCCTTATGAGTTTGCGTCTCCAAAGCTACGAGTTGGAACTGCTTTACTACTTCTTGGTTCTTGTGTGGTAGCTGTAGTTTAGTCTCACTTGCAGCCAGAGCCTGGGACAAAATTACTTTCTAACTTTACAGTCTGCAATACTAAGTAATGCTTGTGTCACTGATTTGTCTCCGACCTGCTTGTTAGTGAAGGGCTTTGACTGGGGTGGGGGTGGCAGCAGCTCTGCTCCCTGATGGATCATAGGAATTTGAAAGCCTAATGAGGGAAGAACTGTGGGGTGGCTCCCGAGTCATGCCTTAGCTGCTCTGACAGTCCACCTTCAAAATATGTACTCGAGCAACTCAGTCTTCGATCTCCACATACCTTCTTTAATGATGTCAATCACGTCGTTGGCATTAAAGCTGAGCTCATCTGTGTCCTGAGCATCGTAGGCGTATAGTGCCCGGCACTGCGGGACCTGGGGCTTGGGCTTGGGCTGGGGCTTGGGTCTGCCCCCAGCGGGCGGGGGGCGGCTGCTCGTCTGCCTGCGGACCCTGGGGGGAGAAAAAGGTGTTACTGTGCTTCAAGGCTGCCTGAAACCTCTGCCTTACTGACCCCTCTGTCCTAAAGCATTGACTAAAGAATACTACAAACAAGAGAAAAGGAGTCTCTTAAGCCTCACAACAATTAAGAAATAAGTGTAAGACTTCCCTGTGAATGGGAGACAGTTGCCTTTCCTACTGAAATGGATGATGAACAGGTACTTCCAAACAGCAGTTCAAACGAACAGAAGACATTTAGTACTTGGGCTGGAATGTAAACAAATGTGCACATGCAGTTCATGCATATCTTGGAATCTACACAGCTTAGGCTGCCTCTCCCCCTGCCCCAACTTCACCAGGGATTTAGTTTCCAGTATTAAAAACAAAGTTCTAGCTCAGCAGCTTGCTACTTTACCATTCTTGTGACTAAGCTGTGAGAGAGACTGCATCTCTTTTAAGTTGCCTCAGACTCCAGGGCCGTCTATGGACTTGTTCTGTTACAGTCAACTGAAGCAGCAGGGGAGATGCTGCACAAACTCTTTGTCACAGCTGTGACCACTCCAAAGGGTAGGAAGGGAAAAGAGGGAAGACATGCTTTTTGCCAGCTCATAGGCTAATAAAGGCTGGAAGAGAGAACAGGTATTAGATGCAATATGTCAGTTTAAAATAAATTAGTAAATGTGTTGAATGAATGAAAATGTAGTGACGTGGCGAAAACTGAGAAAGCTGCTGCAGAAAAGGTTTTATAGTTACATGCTTGCTGGTGCTTGGATTTAAAAGCAGGTTTAAGTCTAAGTTTGAAATGGTTTAAGTAAGGTTGACCTTGCCTGAAGTGTGGCAGGTGGTTTCTCTGACTTTCCAATTTTGCTCCCCACATTGATTCTCACAGCAAATATGATTTTTATTTTTTAAATCTAATTTTAATTTAAACCTTCTCCTGTCAATATGTCTGTCTAGTTTATATTTGTGTAGTGAATTGCATCAAAAAGTGAGCTTTGAAGTATGGGTTTAACAGCACTTTGGTTCTGAATTTATCTACTGGGAGAGAGGATTTTATCCTGGCTGTCACCCTGTATTGACTTTGCTTGGGACAGGATATGTTGTGAAACCTAGACATGACAATAAAAGACTCTGGAGCAAGTCTTAGAGAAGTAGCTCTGCTTTTCTCCAGCATAGCAGAACAACAATATGGTGAGATGTTTTGGCCGTTAGAGCAATGGTGGTGTTACACTCAGGCTGTTGTTGGATTGTTGGTGATTGCTAGAAGCTAAAGCTGTGATGATACCAGTGCATCCTTCTCAGCTGCTTTGTGAGAAATAAACGATGCAAGCCCTTGGAAATTGTATCTCTGGTGGCTGTGGTTTTCAAATACTAAATTCACACCTCTTCTAGCTCACTGCTGGTGTGTAGGGGGTCACTCAAGTTGTCCCTTTTGAACAGTCACAGAGAAAACTTTTTAAAGGAGGCTGTAATGCTGCAAAGACAGCCTTGCAGATATTCCTTCTGTGTGTGTCCTTGGGTCTGAGGCTGCTGTGACACTCCTTTAGTATGTTTGGGTTTCATAGGATGCCTGTACTGGTGAAGCCTGGCTGGGCATGGCACTGGGGGGAGAACA